GGGATTAAAGCAAGTACAGCAGACCAAGAAGAAGCCTGGGTACAAGGTTAAGAAAGGCAGCATGGTGTAGTGGAGAAACAATTGGACTAAAGGGTATGGAAACCTGAGTCTATGTTCTGGTTTAGACATTTCAGCTATTGGATTCTGGGTAAGACAGCGGGGTTCTCTTGAATGTGAAAGGGCCTCATATTTACTTTATCACACAAGGCTGTGAGGAAAATGCTGTGTAAACTTCAATATGAATTATTATTTTCTACCAACAGATCTAGGGAGATTAGCCTTTAAAGATCTTAAAAAATTTCTTTTCGATGAACAAAAACCTATTTTTCTTTCTTTTCTCTTTTTTCCTTGTATTGAGGGAAAAAAAAGAAAAATAAAACCCTTGTAAACAAAGACGCATAGTCAAGAAAGCAAATTCTCATATTGGCCATGTTCAAAAATATGCTTCAATTTTTACCCTGAGGCTATCAACTCTCTGTCAGGATCTTAACCTAACACCTTTAGGTGAATCAGGCAGATGGTATACAAAAGACTCCTGGGTCCTAAGTTACATATTCTAATGAATCCACATGCCACCAATTGGCCACGTATAAATGGGGAAGCCCAACAGGTAGAGTTGGGTAATTAAAATGAGATGAAAAAAAGAAGATAAAATAACTTCATGATGAGAGACAAGGGGATGATCAAAGACTAGCCTTGGGACCAGTAAGACTGAGGTTCAAATCCCGCCTCTGACACATTCTGGCCAGTGGTCTGAGGCAAGTCGCAACCTCTCAGACTATAGGTTGTACAGAAAGTTTAGCTCTGTAGCGGTAAAGTGGATGAAATCAAAGGTCTAGTACAAATTAATTTCAGCGTTTCAAGATAATTCACTTATGTCATCATTCAATAAGCACTTATTAAGTGCCTACTATTTGCAGGACACTGTCGTACACAGTGAAGATAGGGATAAGGCCTGGACCCGTGATTTGATGATGAAGGTAATTCTTTAATCAGAAAACTCCCTCAAACAATGACACCAGAAATATGAAACCACTGCCAAACACTCCCTCATCTCAAGGTATTCCATCATGCTATGACTTTCCAGTAAGATTAAAAAGTCTGCTGCTTTTACTTCTATTATTAACTCGCTTGAAATAAAGAAAACACTGAGTACATATAATTTTATTACCTATCCCCTTGTTACAAAATTCTAGCAATGATGTCTTGAACGTGATTGTGAGAAAATGGAACTTCACTGGATTTCCACCTTAAGAGCTATTAAAAATGAATATGGAAAAAGGACCAGACCTATGATTTATTTCATTGGTACAGGGAACTCTCAGGTAAGGAAATCCCCTCTACTAACGCAGATTGGCACCTCCTCTGCAGTTTACAGTCTTGGAGAGCTGCCTAAAGCACTGAGATGCTAAGAGACTTGTCTAGGCTCACATAGCTAGAATGTGTCGGAGGCAAAAATGTGAACCCAGTGCTTCCTGGCTCTATCACGACAGCATACTGACTCTGCCCTCAAAATGGATACTAGTATAATGTGAAAAGCTATGAAAAAGTGATCATTTTAGTAACAAGACTTTTCTAGTGGGTATGCACCTGTATCAGCACATTCATAAATGGGTATTTTCCCGCTTATTCATAAGAAAAAAATTGATTCATACCTCCTCCCACCCCAGGGCAAAAAAATTATCTGAATTTCATAGACTTTCATAGATTATTTGAATTTCGTGGATTATTTTTGCAGATGGTTTGAATTATTTATAGATTTTCATAGATTATTTGAATTTCAGTGTCTCCCCCCCGACAGTAAAATCTTCCTCTGTTGCCTTGTCCTCATGAGGAGTAAATACTTCAACGGCACATGAACTCTAGCAGGTCCTTTGAAGACACAGAAACTCTGAGACTGAGTCCAGTGATGGACCACACGTCAGTTGCCCGAGGACCAACCTGGCTAAGCTGGGAGGGGTTCATTATCAACTGGCTGCAGGATCATGAACTGTTTCGGCTGAAGTGGCTCTTGAAGACCATGTACTATTTTATAAAGGGGCTACGATCTGCATTGGTGCATGTATGGCATGATTATAGATCCTTAAAATAGAGAAATTAGAAAAAAAGCATCTTCGGGTACTGCCACCCAACTTCAACCAGGCATTATTTCAGACAGAGATGATATTGTTGCAAATGCACTCATGTCTCCAGCTTTGAGAATTTCGGGAATCATACCACCTGAAAATCCTGACATCTGGCAAAGACACTATGAAAAACCAGGTATCTATGCCTGCCTCTTTCTATTCCTTTGCATGTGAAGTAATCTGTCTGTATTTTCCTGTCTGGCCATATCAATTTTCAGCACAGAAGAGAATGCTAATTGATCCTACATGTTGGCTGGCCTTGCTATCATTCCTCAAATTTAATTATCAAAAAAAATTTGTAACAAAAATAAAAATGAGCCAGAATTCCCTGCCTTACCAATGGGCATTGTGTGCATATGAAAATGGGGTCTGTTTTCTGGAACCAAATTAGAGGACTGGATAGCCCAGCTCCATCCACTCAGCTTGGACATTATGTAACCAGCCCAGCCCCTTCCTCTTGCCCTCTCTATGTATCTCTGTTATCATAAAACCTATTCAAACTTCTCCCAAGGGCAGGGAACAACACTTAGAAGACAGCTTCCTAGGGAAGCCCAAAGCTTACCTCACCCTTCCCAGTGAAGGAAACAAGCAGACCTAGTCTTTTCCAGGGCTGTTATTTTAATAAGCCCTCCAAGGGCTTGCCCTGGTCAGCAGCTAGACTTTTCCTATGCCTTGTTTTCTTTATACAGGTGTTGGAAGAGTGTGTGTATGGTTCAATCAGGGTTGATCTGTAAATAATGATAAAACATCCAGAGGAATCCACCTTGGAAATTCTTCTGTATCAGGGAGAATACAGCAACTTGGAAGAGTCAATGCTCGCGGATTTCCCATTCGCTGGAGCTGGTATTCCTAAGCTTGAACCAACTGTGTCAAGCTGTGGCTCCTTCCCCAAGGAGTCCTACTACTCCAGATCAGTGGCAAGCTATTAAAAGATTTCAGCCTCAATTTTACCATCTTCAATATGGAAATAATAATAGCATTTATTTTATAGGGTCAGCATGAGGGTCTAATGAGATAACATTATATAAAATACTGAAAGTACTATTATATAAATTCTAGCTGTTATTATTATCCCCTAATTCTTAGCTTGGGTAGGTAGGTGGCACAGTAGATGGAATGCCAAGCCTAGAGAAGACCTGAGTTCAAATCTGGCCTCAGACACTACTAGCTGTGTGACCCTGGGCAAATCATTTTAACCTGTTGGCTTCAGTTTCCTCATCTGTCAAATGAGCTGGAGAAGGAAATGGCAAACCACTCCAGTATCTTTTCCAAGATGACTCCAAATGGGGTCATGAAGAGTCAGACATGATTGAAACAAGTGAACAACAACGAAATCCTTAGCTTGGTGGCATAGTGTTTAGAGTACAAGGCTTAGGGTCAATAAGATCTGAGTTCAAATCCTGGCTCAAACAATTCCTAGCTGTGTGACCCTGGGCAAGTGGCTTGAACCATTTCAGCCTCTGCATTCCTCTGTGCAAAACAGAGATAACAGCACCAACATCAGTCAGTCAATCAATAAGCATTTTATTGAGTACTTAACTAAGTGCCAGGAACTATGCTAAGCACTGGGGATACAAAAGGAGGCAAAAGACAGTCCCTGCCCTCAAGGAGTAAGCTGACAAAGATAAGACATAAAGCGTTTTGCAACACACTATATAAATGCTATATGAAAGCGCTACATAAATGCTAGCTACATTATCCTTATCATTATTGCTATTGTTATTATCGTTGTTATTATTGTCATCATTATTGTTGTTCTCACTACTATCATTATTATTATTGTTGTTACTGTCATTCTTCTTCTTACTATTATATCAGAGGAAAGAGGTAATACCATGAGAGACAATTCTTGCACTTCTCTGGAAGGGGTGCCTTTGGGGGAAATGTGAAACACAGTGGGAAAACCTCCCTATCTCTCAGATTTTATCCCTTGTATTCCTTTATTTATAGCCTCACTAGGTATAAATACAAAACTTGCTTTTTAAGGGAAGGGGCATTTGGCTCTGAGTTTTACATTTCATGAGAATCCTGATCCCCCTTGAGAAAGAAGAGGCATTCACAGATACTGGAACGCCAAGCAGCTTCTCCTAACTGCCCACCTTACCAGAGCAGAACCCTCTGGTGCATCCTTTCTACTCCGGATAGACGGAGGTCTGCCCTCAATAGGGCAGGTAGTGTGGGCTCAACCAAGTGCTCTGGGTTTTTGCCTTTTAGATTTAGCCTTCTGCGTGGAACCCTGCAGCCAGACAGGAATAGTTTCTGGTTCCTAAAGTCAGCATTTCCATCTTCCTTTTTAAGCTTGGGCACTTTAAGTCTCCAATGGGCTATGCTGATCATGCCCCTTCTTCCCCATCCGTGACAGAATGGCTAGAAAGGGGACCTGAAAACAGCTGTGGCTACCAAGGAACATTTGGAAACTTCTGATTTCTCCTTAGTGGCTGGGAAGCAACAGGCAGTTTTTGCAACACATTGTACCCATTACAAACTTGGACATTCACCTATCTGTGAGGACATTCAATCTCCTCTGTTCACCAATCCACCACTGAATGAATGAATGAATGAATTCATTCACTCACTCAAAATATATTTATTAAGTGCCTGCCTGCTATGTTCCAATAGGCACTGAAGATACATGGATTAAAACTAAAACAGTTCATGCCCTGAAGGAGCTTCTACTCTACTGGGGAGAAATAACATGTAGACACATGAATACAAACATATCACACTGAAGTCTTGAGAATAATGTTAAAGACTGAGATCCCCTTGATGCCTACCAGTAGGGTTAATAGTAGGAAAACAAGAGGTTTTCCAGAAGATTGAGCACAAACAAATTTATGCCCCCCTCCCCCAAAAAAGTAGCACTTTCTCACTTACCACTGAGGTAAGAGCCATTTGAAAACTGTAGATCCGTGCAAGGCCAAAATCGGCCAGTTTAATCTGTCCATTGCTGGTGACAAGGATATTCTGTGGTTTCAGATCCCGGTGCACTACTCGGTGCGAATGAAGAAAATCCAGACCTCGGAGTAGCTGAAACATCATGTCCTAAAGATAATCCACAATCAATTAATCAATGGTAATCAAGAAGAATCATCTCCCTTCCCACAGAGTCCCCTTCCTCACCAGTCAGGGTATTATCAATATGGAACAAGAGGCTATCTGGCGTCATAATGAATAAAGAGCTAGTCTTAGAGCCTGGAATAGTGATAATAATAAGCGTTCATATAGGGCTTTTACTTTACAAATATTATCTCACTTGATCTCATGACAACCCCGGGAAGCTGGTGCTCTTTAAATCTTCATCTTAGAGACGAAGAAATGCAAGCAGAGGCCAAGTGACTTGTCCAGAGTCCCACCGCTAGTAAGTGTCTGAGGCCTTATTTGCATTCAGGTCTTCTTGGCTCCAGGGCCAATGCTCTATCCACTGGGCCACCTAAAACCCCAGGCAAAGTTACTTAACTTCTCAATGCCTCAAGCAACTCTGTAAGGATATAAATTGCTGTCTGTCATCAAGGCTTCCACACCGTAAGTTTCCTGCCTCAATGATCTGGGGCCCATGTGGAGCCTGGCATAAAGCAGAGAGCCCAGCCATCAAAGTTGATCAATTTCACACTTCTTTTTATAAAATGACAGAACTAATATCGAAAATGATATTACAGATGAGGAAATGGAGGCTCAGAGATGTTCAGGGATTTGCCCAGGGTCACACAGCTAGTAAGTGTCTGAGGCTAGATTTGAACTCTGGTCTTTCTGACTCCAATTACAGCACTCTATCCAATGAACCTCAAAATGAACGCCATTTTACTGACAGGCAAAGTAAGTCAAAAAGAGGTTTGTGACGGCCTCCTACCTCCAAGTCCACAGCTTTTTCTATGCTCCGCTGCCATGCCTAAGCCTATATGTAAATACCAATCACTGAACTTGGAGTTGGAAAAACTGAGCTCAAGGCTCAGCTCTGACCCTACCTAGACAGTCACTATGTGACGAGGGCAAATCACAGGATCTCTCAGTCAGCCAGACCTCTCAAAGACTTGAAGTTATAGTCAAGTAGCCAATTGTTATCAGTGGGAAGAATTTTCACCTTGAATTTCGTATAAGCATGAAATCCAGGTTACGGAGAGAAAAATACACATTTCTATCATTCACGCCTGTGACTTATCAGTGTATGAAATGCCTTCTATCACTGTATATCTACGATGGTCCTGCAACTTAAGAGCATAGAGAGGGGTCTCCAAAGGGGAACCACAGAATGTCAACTAGGGGTCTGTGGCGAACCAATTAGGGGTTGGAAAGATGAGTTGCATTCTCATGATGACCAATCCTGGGCCTCATCTCTAAGAGACTCAAAACAACTATTATCCCTCCCCTTCCATGTGCAAGCTCCTAGCCTCCCACAACCCTTCCCTCCCACCTCCAATACAGATATATAGCTTCCAAAAGTAGGGATGGTATCTCTATCTGTGTCTCCAATGCTTAGCATGGTGCTTTGCCCACAGGAACTACTTAATAAATACTTGTCTTCCCTCCTCTTTCTCCCTTCCTTCTTTCTCTCCCCTTCCCTTTCTTTCTTGTCTTTTTTCTTTTTTTTCCTTCTTCCTATTCTCCCCCTTCATTCTTTCTTCCTTTTTCTGTTTTCTTTTCTTTTCTTCCTTCCCTGTCTCCTTTTTATTCCTTCCTTTTTTTGTTTTTTTTTCTTCTTGTCTCCCCTCCGTCCCCTTTCCCTTCCATCTTTTGTCTTTCTTTCCCCTTTCCTTCCTTCCCCCACCCTATTCCCTGTACATAACATACACCAGTTCTAGTGATTGGAAGGGGGGTGGGGTGGGATTGTAGAATATTAAGAATTGGCAGGCATCTTCCTCAGGGCCACCTAGTCCAGTCTTCACAGAATGCCATATGGTAGACATAAGCAGTCCCACTGACGGCTAGCAGTTTTTGCTTTTGAGAAACATCTGAAATGGCCCAGAGAAATTGGCAGCAGAGACCTTAGACACATACAAATAGTGTTAACTGCTGAAGCACTGGAGGGGTGGGGGAGGAGAGGATGCAGGCTGGGAAGATCAGAGGACCATTTTAGGTCAAACGACTAGCAGTGAATAAACAGGAGTGTGAAAGTGAACCCAAACATGTGAAAGAAGCCAGTCTCTACTGTAGCAAGTGAGTCTTCATTGGAAACATGTGCACATGACTTAGGAGCCCTGATTTTAAAAGGCATGCCTAATCTTAAAAAAAAAATGCCCCCCAAACTACACGTTTGCGGGCTTACAGGGCATGAAGCACTGTTTGAAACCATACAGAGAAACTTAGAACAAATGAATTAGAAGTAGTCTAAACCATTTAATTAACCTATGAATGCAATGACGATAGCTCTTAGAGACTGTTAGAGGCAGAGAAGGTGTTGGTCTGTGTTAGGAAAGGGAGTTTCCTACACCAAGTGAATCACAGGTCCAGACATCCCAAAATGAATTCAATAAAAACCCAATTACCTGTATTAACTGGGGTGTGAGTGAGGCCTGCCTAATTGGTGGAAAGTCTGATTACAGAATTTAAAAATTATTTCTGATTTTAAGTGCATACAAAATCACTAGATGAGGCTTAATGAATTCTTTATAATTAAATAATTTGTAACTGACATACTCATGACATAATGAGTACAGAAGACGTCTGTAAAAAGATGACTTTATGTTAAAAACTGGTCAGTTGTTTCAGAATCATCTGTCTCTATGAGGTTGGATCATCTATCAGTCAGCGAAAAGGTCAACATCAATACTAAATTATATAAAAGGATAAAGAGGATACTGTGAAATTACAACAGCTTTGGCCTGACCTACTTAACCAAGCCATTATTTCTGAAAAACAATATTTACAAAAATTAGCCACCATTGCCATTTCCCACAGGATTTTATGTTGTATAAAACAGCTGTTAAAATGAAGAGGCTGGAATAGCCCAGGAATCATCTCAATCAGAGAATGGGATACCCACAGCATCTGTCCATTGGTACATATGTCAACCGGAATATAAATGGGCAATGAGTTGAAGGCAGTGTAGACTAGGCAGAGAGCAGAATGGATAGCACTGGGGAAATTGTGCTGTGCTTTTTATGATCCCAATCAATCAATGAATAAGGTACTAAGTGCCTACTATGCGCCAGGCAAAGTGCTAGGTGCTGGGATTACAAAGACAAAAACGAAACAGGCCTTGCCCTCAAGAGGCTTACAGTCTAATAGGGAAAACATAATGTATATAAAACTATTAAATGATATATAAAGTCAATACAAGGTAATTTGGGGAGGGAGGCCCTAATAAATGGAGGGATAAGGAGTGGCTTTACGTAGGAGATGGTGCTTGAGCTATGTCTGAAGGGAGTTCAGGATTCTGAGTCAGGTCAGGATTCCAAGTAGTAAAGTCGGAATATATTCTAGGCACAGGAAGACAACATGTACAAAAAGGCTGTGACTGGAGGTGGACAGTAATTACAAAATCCTTAAGGCAACGGAATTATCAATGGCAGAGGTCTTTAACAATAATTGGTTTTTACTAGGATTCTTCAAAGCATCATAGATCTAGAGCCAGAAGGGACCTGAGAAGGGCAGAAAAATGTCATCTTCCTAATACCAATCTTCTCTGTTCTCTAGGGATGCTCATGAATACCACAATCACAGAAGACTCAGACTTTCAGGTGCTCCAGAGGCAACGGATGGATACACAATGGCAAGCAGACAATGGCAGCAAATTACTGAAGGGGACGTAAGCACAAGCAGCGGCATAAAAGTCAACATGGAGGATGCAATTTGCGAGGAGAAAGGAAATGGTCATACAGCAAGTATGATGGATAACAGATGGATAGTCCATGACAGCCAATCAATTCAACAGCCTTAAGAAGGATTTCTATAGAAAGGCAGAACTAAGAATGGAAATTGGTAGAGGGATTATGATCGTGGGTCCTAAGAATTATCAATATAATAAATACATCACAGTACTTACCTAAGCGACTTTGGGCCCTTTCACTACTGATGTGTAAATAAAACAGCTGCTTCTAAATTCTGAGTATGTGAAATTTTAAAGCTTTTCCATGAACAAAATTAACGCAACTAAGATAAAGCCATGCACTAGGAAAAAACAAAGTTATATCAAAAATCTCTGTAAACCAAAATATGTAGGTAACTAATAGAAATCTATAAGAATAAGAACAAAGAATATGAATATTTTCAGAAGAATTATTAAAAGCATATGAAAGAATGCTCCAAAATGATAATAAGAGAAATGCAAATCAAAACAACTCAGATTTCAACCAAATCTGCAAGGATGACAAAAGACAGGAATAGCTAACGTCCTTTCCCTATGCTATGCTGCCTTTCTCTACCTTGTCCACAGGGATACTGAGAAATATTCTGTCAAATTGCTTTCTGAAATCCATATATATGATAACTATAGTATTCCCCCGATTTAGTCAAGTAATTATGTCAAAAACAGAAATGAAGTCAGTCTCACAGGTCTTATTCTTGATGATGGTACTTTTGAGTGTTAACTACTTACCTTTCTAAAAAACACAGAAACTATCCTTCTAATAACGGATTCTCAAATCAGAAATGTTCTGGTAGAAGAAATACTAACGAACTCTTTGGCCGTTCTATATCAATCTAGAATCAGAGAATTTTAGAACATTAGTCAACTACAACCAACTATAAAAGGAGAACTAGGAGAGAACTAAGGAAAGTCAGAGTATCCATAGGGAAGTGTGAGTCTGCACTGTCAGATGATACAGAAAGGTCAAGAAGGATGATGACTGAAGAAAGGCTACTGGATTTAGCAGTTAAGGGAGAAAATAGGCTTCAATGGTAGGTTAAGAAGCCCAATTCTAAGCAAGGGGTTGAGAAATGAGTGGAAGCTAGGAAATAAAAGCAACAAGCATATGATTTTTCTAGCAGTTTGCCTATGAAAAGGAGGAGACACGGGATAACTTTAAGGGATGCTACAGTGATATGAAAATTTTTTGAGGATGGGGGAGATTAAGGTATTTTTTGTAGGTAGCTTTAAGAAAGGTGCC